TCTATTCATGAGAGAAGTAACTCTGACCAGCAATTCCCAAAGTGGGTTCCATGGCATGGTAATAGGTATTTCTAGGGAAAAAGGGGGCAGGGGCGGGGGGAGGTGGTTCTATGCTCGAATATCTTGGGAACACAATTGAACAAAATGAGGTCTTTATTGCAATACCTCTCTGAGCCTTCGACATGAGGCTCCTCATCTTCTGTTTTCCTCTGATAGCTGGACTCCTACCTTCCAGAGGCCCTTCAAAACTGGGGGTTATCTTCATCACTGTCCTCATCTTAGCCCCTAAATGTTGAGCACTTGATATCCCAGACAGCAGCCTAGTGCATCATGCAGTGTAGCTTGCTAAATCCTCGTAACAGCCCTATATTTTATAAATAAGGAAACTGAGGCACAAAGAAGTCATGTGACTCACCTGAGTCACACAAAAGGCTCAGACAAACCCAGGATGCCCATCCCTGGGGGCCCAGACACCACAGTGCTTGCTGTCCCTGATGCGTTGTTGACCCCAAATGCCCGCGTGAGATCCCCACTTCGGAGGTCAGAGGCCACGTAGGTGCCCAATCCCTGTACAAGTCCGAGGAGAGGAACAGATGGTCCCGGGGCTCCTTGGGCTTCAGGGAGTGGCTCCCCATCTTTCTGTGCCCCTCCACGAGTGGCTCGCTGGTCCTTGACATAACTGGTCACATATCTACCAGGAGCTCAAGAGCACGGACATGAAGTACCGGAACCGGGTGCGCAGCCGAATCAGCAACCTCAAGGACCCCAGGAACCCCAGCCTGAGGAGGAATGTGCTCAGCGGGGCCATTTCTGCTGGGCTCATTGCCAGGATGACGGCAGAGGTGAGAGCGGGGCTGGGACCGCTGCGTGGTGGGGTGGGAGGCCAGGCCCCTCTGGCTTTGCCCGTGTCTGTGCCTTGTGACTCAGGGGAGATGACCTGGGGTCTTTTTCAGCCAGACCCTCTCAGACTCCCCATCCCTCCAGGCCTCTGGACCATCAGGATAGTGAACACAGCTACTATGAATTAAGCATGGTGCTAAGTGCCTTAGGCTCATTGGCCAATTATATCTTCACAGCATCTGAGGTAGAAATGTTTGGTATCCCCATTTTACAGATGAGGATACTGAGGCTCGGAGGAGTTAAGTGATTTGCCTACACACACAGCTAGAAGATGTCAAAACCAGGGGCGCGGTTGGCTCAGTTGGTGGAACGTGCGACTCTTGATCTCAGGGGCTCTTGTGAGTGCAAGCCCCACATTGGGTGTAGAGATTACTTAAAAAAAAAAAATAGGGGCACCTGGGTGGCTCAGTCGGTAAGCGACTGCCTTCAGCTCAGGTCATGATCTCAGGGTCCTGGGATCGAGCCCCGCATCGGGCTCCCTGTTCTGCTGGAAGCCTGCTTCTCCCTCTCCCACTCTCCCTGCTTGTGTTCCCTCTCTCGCTGTCTCTCTCTCTGTCAAATAAATAAAATCTTAAATAAATAAATCTTTAAAAGAAAAAGAAAATGTCGATAAATAAATAAATAAATAAACAAACAAACAAATAAATCTTTAAAAGAAAAAGAAAATGTCGAAGCCAGAAGGCAAGTTGTCTGGCCCCAGAGCACCCACTCTTTACTGCTTGGTCGTCTACCTCCCTCTTCTGCCTTGTTCAGTCCTGGGCCCAAGCCAGATTAGCAGACCCTGTCTCTGTGGAACACAGTCCAAGGTGGGGAGACAGACATATTTTCAACTTTGTACAATACAGAGGAGGTAAGTGCCACGATCGAGCCACCATGGGAACTTAGAGCAGGGAAGGATTGACCCAGCTTGAAGGGGTCAAGAAGGGAAGGAAAAGGGAGCAGCCTGTCCGAGGAGTATGGGCAGTGGTTGGTTACAAGCTTCAGAACTGCATGGGTTTGAATTCTGCCTCTCTTACTTAGCTGTGTGCTCTTAGACAAGCTACTTAACCTCTCTGTGCCTCAGTTTTCTCATCTGTAAAACAGGAAGAATAATAATAACTAACATGGGGCGTCTGGGTGGCTCAGTGGGTTAAGTGTCTGACTCTTGGCCTCGGCTCTGGTCTTGATCTAAGGGTTGTGAGTTCAAGCCCTGAGTTGGGCTCCACGCCCCACGCCTTAAAAATAAAAGTAAGAAATAATAATAATAGCTATCTCATGAAGGATTGAATGAGTTAATATATGTGAGTGTTTAGGTTAATATATGTAAAGCCCTCCCCAGAATTCATACATGATAGGCTCAGTCACTGACCATTTCATGTAACCCCGAGCACCATGCTGTCAAAGAGGAAATAATTATCCCCATTTTATGGATGAGAAAAACTGAAGCCACGCACAGCTAGTAAGTGACAGATAAAAATTCGAACCCAGATCGGTTTATTTCAGAGCCCACATCTTGGAAACACCTTTTGTACACCCTCAGGTATAAGTGGCCCTCATACTGGGGTGTACTGATCGGGGGCTGATCGAGGGGATTCCGTGAAAGCACCACTAAACCAAAGTGGCCCAGACAAAGGGGAGGGGAAATGCATTGGGATCCTGGAGTCTGGCTGTGCCTCAGGACGTCTAGGAACCCTCTGAAACTGTTGGCAAGGTGTGCCTGTGTGTGTTTGCGGTATGTGTGGTGGGTATGTATGACGTGTAATGTGTGTGGTGTGTGGGGTGTACTTGGTATTTAGTATATGTTGGGGGGGGATGTAGCGGGGGAATATACATTTCTTCTCTTCATTGCTTTCCTCAAATACCCAAAACAAGAGAGCCCTGGCTTTAGCATAAAAATGGGGAACTTGGCCCAGGTGAACCAGGGTTCTCTTTCTGCTTAATTCAAAGTATCTGATCTTGGGCACCTGGGTGGCTCAGTTGGTTGAGCATCTGCCTTCGGCTCAGGTTGTGATCTCAGGGTCCTGGGATCGAGCCCCGCGTCGGGCTCCCTGCTCGGTGGGGAGCCTGCTTCTCCCTCTCCCTCTGCCCTTCCCCCAGCTTGTCTCTCTGGCACACATGTGCTCTCTCTCAAATGAATAAATAAAATCTTAAAAAAAAAAAATCTGATCTTCTTAGGCAAATAGCAACATATGCCCAGAATTACAAATTGCAACTTGGCTTTACAGCATCTTCTCTTTCCTTGCAAGGAGCTGTGACTTTTATGGAAACCTGGCCTTGTGTTTCCTCGTCCCTGTCCCTCACTCCATGGCTCTGGGGTCCCTCTACCTCTATGCATGTGCATTGTAGGAATGCTACCAGGAGACTCTTCCAGGCAATCCGAGGCATGGGAAGACCAGGCCCAGGAGAACCAAGAGCAAGGTACAGACACAGGTTTGAGCCAAACCCAGCAAGTCCCCATAAGCTAGAGGTCAGAATGGAGCTGAGTGTCTGGATCAAGACAAAGACAGGCCCGAGACATCCCAGCAAAGTAAACATCCCAGCAAAGTAACTGGCCAAAGCCAGATGTGTGGATGGTCTGGCCCCACCCAAGGACGGTTCACTAGAATAGAGCAAGAGAATCAGGTGGTCAACCCATACCCATGAAGAGGCTGACCAGACCAAGAGGGGCAAGTCGAGAACTTAGCAGGCCCTCCACGGGGCCAGGCGCCAAGGACCCTACCCTCTGCCAGCAGCCCAGGCACCAAATGCAGTGGAGACCTTCACCTTGGGGACCTCTTTGGCCCCAGGCCGGAAGTTTCTATAAGAAATAGAAGACCATTTTTGCCCCAGTAAGAAAAAGAACAGCTTGGGTTTGGGCGGCCTGCTGTGCTCTGGCTCAGGGGACAGGGAGAGCCTGGGACAGCAGATGCCTGTGGACGTGCATGTCCCTCTCCGCGTCCCGTGTCTGCCTCAGTCTTCCCTCTTCTCCTCTCTACCCAGACGTACCCCAGAATGGAGTTGATTCTGAGATGTTCTTTAGAGCTGTTCAGTGGCTCTACCATCAGCCCCGTGAGGAGGGGGGTTTTGTCTGTGCGCTGCTCGCCCAGTACTGAGACCCGTAACTGGCACGACACAGGTGTGCAGCGCATACTCACGGGGTTCACCTTCGGGGTTCCTCCTGCAGAGGTGTGTACACACGAGGACCAGTGTCCTCTCGCACTCCATCCCCAGCCTCATGTCCACCGTATTAGAGAGCTATACTATACTACAGCACTGTATTTACTCCACGTGTCTTTGATGCTATCTCCTCGATGAGGCAGGGCAGAGACAGGTAAATGGATTGGTGAGTGGGTGTTTTTTCTGTTCTCTGTTTCTTAGCTGGCACACAAGACCCCCTTTCCACGATCTGACCCCCCTGCCACATCTCCCAGCTTGAACACATCCCCAAACACCCTTCCCCCAACGTGTTACTCTTGTCTGATCTTTTGTGTCTACTATTCTCTTTCTCTAGAACTGCTGTCTCCCTTGGGAACTCCTGCTTATCTTTCAAGACTGATTAAGGTGTCCGCTTCTTTTTTTTTTTTTTTTAAGATTTTATTTATTTGAGAGAGAGAGAATGAGAGACAGAGAGCAAGAGAGGGAAGAGGGTCAGAGGGAGAAGCAGACTCCCGGCCGAGCAGGGAGCCCGATGCAGGACTCGATCCCGGGACTCCAGGATCATGACCTGAGCCAAAGGCAGTCAGTCGCTCAACCGACTGAGCCACCCAGGCGCCCAAGGTGTCCGCTTTTTTTTTTTTTTTTAAGATTTTATTTATTTATTTGCGAGAGAGAATGAGAGACAGAGAGCACGAGAGGGAGGAGGGTCAGAGGGAGAAGCAGACTCCCGGCCGAGCAGGGAGCCCGATGCGGGACTCGATCCCGGGACTCCAGGATCATGACCTGAGCCGAAGGCAGTCGCTCAACCGACTGAGCCACCCAGGCACCCAAGGTGTCCGCTTCTTTAACAGCCTCCCCTGCCCCGAAGCAGTTAGCCATCCTACGCTGGGCCTCCCCCTGTGCTTCGTGTACCTCCGCATTAAGTACCTCCTATGCTATCTCGCAATCCTGTGTAAATACCTGGCTACAGTACAGATTAGCATTACCTGGGACAGGAAGCAAATCTTCATATCCGAATCCTTAGGGCTCAGAAGCAGCAGTCCTCGGTCAGCACCTACCAGCTGGAGAGAGGTGATCCTGTGTAGCTATTCCCAGCTCTGCACTCAGTTACACTACATTAGTAGCTTGAAATTGGCCATGGGAGGAGCATTTGCACTATGGGAATCACGCCCCAGTCAGGCCAAGGCCCATCACCAGCACACAAATGCAGTTAAAGGCATTCAGTAAATTGACATCCGATACATTTTGAATGAATGCATTATGCTCTGGATTTCCCCCCCAAATTAAAATTAGCTGCTTTTTGCTTATTTGGCCCCAGGTTGACTTGTTTTTCTGTATACTCCTGCCCATGGTTAGGACCTAGTCCTTGAACTTAATAGGGCTGGGCTTACACATTGGCATGCACCAGAATAACTTCAGGGCACTAGTAAGATTCCCGGGCCTGCCCCTCTTAGGATTTTGGATTCAGAGGACTCTGCATTTCATCAGGAAGCCCAGGTGGTGATAACGCAGCGGTCAGCACATTACAATCACCTGACCTTTTTGCCAACTCTGTTTTCCGTGGTTTAAAGAGTCGGGATAGATAGCAACAATGGAAATGTTCAGCCGGCGCCAGGTTGTCCTTTTAACATTAGCTCCGGCCATCCCTCCTCCCCTAAACCAACCTTACCTAGAGCTCTCTCCAGTTTGACTGTCCCCTCCTCTGCTGTCCTCTGTCAGAGGTTTAAAGGGGAGTCAGCAGGGAGATGGATAAAGGTAGGACCTGGGTAATGCAAACACTGAGTGCCTGCAGTGAGCTGACAGGAGCCAGGGGACTCTGTTCTATGGGAGCTTTTTTTTTTAAAGATTTTATTTATTTGACAGAGAGAGACACAGCGAGAGAGAGAACACAGCAGGGGGAGTGGGAGAGGGGGAAGCAGGCTTCCCGCGGAGCAGGGAGCCCGACGCGGGGCTTGATCCCAGGACCCTGAGATCATGACCTGAGCCGAAGGCAGACGCTTAACGACTGAGCCACCCAGGCGCCCCTGTTCTATAGGAGCTTAAAAAAAAAAGATGTTCTGTGATGCAGGGGAGCAGTTAGCTGTGTGAACCCAGGAGCTTTGGGTCCCGCGTGGGTCAGGGTAGCCACAGCAAGTCAAGGTTCCCAGCAGGCAGAATGAACTAGGCAGTGGTCAAAGTTTGGATAGGCACTGGGTCAAGTCCAGACCGGAAAGATAAGGGGAACAGCGCAGATCAGGGGGTCGCCGTCCAGGCAGCTCAAGCAGGAGGTTCAGGCAGGTACCCAAGGTCCTGGCAGGCAGGGTGAGCACCAGATCTGAGGAAATGTACACAAGCTATTGCCCCTGGGGCGGAAGCTGTTGGCCTTCTGCTCTCCCACACACGCCCTTCTGGTCTTGGCCCAGTCAGAGGCTGCAGGTTTGTCCTTCCACCCAAAGCGGGAGGGCGACTCTTTGGGTATAGCATTTTCCAAGCTGGGGCAAGGCCAGGAGTCCAGGCGTCCCTCCAGCTCCTTGCCCTCAGCCCAGCATGTTCCCCTCTCCTCTGTTCAGGCTGTCTAGAAACCGGGTGGGGGGCAGGGCCCCTGGGACTCTCTCACCCTGAAGGGCAGACTCCTTTCTCTCCAGGAAATGGCCAGCGATGAGCTGAGGGAACTGAGGAACGCCATGACCCAGGAGGCAATCCGTGAGCACCAGATGGCCAAGACAGGCGGCACCACCACTGACCTTTTCCAGTGCAGCAAATGCAAGAAGAAGAACTGTACCTATAACCAGGTGTGGGAGAGGGGGCTATGGGGGCGCGGAGGTGGAGAGGCAGCTTAGGGAGGAGCCAGGGGTGGGGGGGATCGGGAGAAAGGACTAAAACTCCGGGCTGCAGAGAGAAGGCCAAGTCTTGGTCCACCATCATGCTGCACCTGTGGCTTCTAGAAAATGTTCTCCTGCATGTAGAATCACCCAGATTGGGGTCTGTGAGGCATGGCCAGCATGCTCTGGCCTGCCCTGAAGCAAGAATAGGAGGAACCAGACTCACCAGGCATGGACATCTGTAGAGTCACAGATGGTTGGAAAGAAACTTAGCAACAGAAAAGTTAGCTCCCTTGTTTCGTACTTAGGGAAACTGAGGCCCAGGCAAGAGTCAAGCTTCTCAGCTTTGTCCAAGATGGCCAAGACAGTCATAAATGGCAGAGATAGTAACAAACCCTGATCTAGACTTTTCTGCCTGCCTGTAATACAGCCAATGTGGCCAGAGAGTTGAAGGCATTTAGCCCCAAGTCCTAAGGCCGAAGACCACTGTCCTGGCATGGGGGGGCGGGTCACAAAAGGCTGTGGAGCCCCCTCCTCTGAAAGACTTAAAACCCAAGAACTGCCTTCTGTTTCTGGGTTGTACATATTATGTTCTTGGGGCACCACTCTTCTTGGATTCTAATTTGTACCTGGCCATTCTAGAACTCTATTCATTCTTCCATCTGCTGGGCAAGCAAGATTTGTCAAGAGCACCTTGCTCGTGGAAATCTGTGGTTGCAGCAGAAATATAGCCAGCCTTGCTGTTCTGGAGGAGTCTCTCAAAGATTCCCATTCAGGAATTCAGGGATGTTTGTGCAAGCCTCCTGCTTTCTTCCAAGCACATTTCCATGTGGAGTGATGTGTTTCCTGTGCATTGCGTCCCACCAGAAGTAAACCGCCCATTAGCCGAGTTTTCTCTGCACAGAGAAACCCCAGTGTTATTGTCCCTCCCGTGTTACCACTCTGCAGTAAGGAGGCTGGGCTGAGCTGTGCCCTCTTGGCCCACCGTTGGGCTCACTCAGGAGCCCTGAGACTACCCACCGCCCGCCCCCCCAGACTCTCAGGTGACATCACAGTCAGAGCTGAGTGTCAGCAAAGTAACACATCATGCTCATCCAGGGTTGGCTGTAGAAAATCAGAACAGTAATTGTTAAATCTGCAAATGGAAGGGATTTGCCGCAGGAAGCCCAATTCCTGCCATCTGCCTGGTTTGGTCAAGGGCGTGAGAAACTAGGAAACAAGACATTAAAGAGTCCCAGGGATCCACTGATCGTCAACTTGCTTTTTCTCTCTTGGCCTCAAGTCTTGCACCTCTAACATAAGGAATGAGGGGGAGGGGCACCTGGACTCAGTTGGTGAAGTGTCCAACTCTTGATCTCGGCTCAGGTCTTGATCTCAGGGTTGTGAGTTTGAGCTCCGCATTGGGAGCTGGGCGTGGAGCCCACTTGGATGGACAGATGATAGATAGATGATAGATAGATAGATAGATAGATAGATAGATAGATAGATAGATGATAGATTGATAGATGATGGATGGATAGATAAATGGTGGATGGATAGATAGATGATGGATGGATGGATGGATGGATAGATAGATGATAGATAAAGGAGCAAACTAGAAGATCTTTAAGGGCGCTTCCAGCTCCCTGAAGTTCTGACCAGTGAGGCTTAGTGGATAGGGTGTGTTCAGAGGTGAGTCAGGAAATAATTCCTGTAGGAGATGAGCCTTGAGGCAAGAGAAGAGCAATCAATTCAGAAGGATGAAGAACAAAAGTGAAAGTGCAGAGAACTGGTTGAGCCAGTGAGGCACTGGAGGTGAGCTGATGGGCCTGAGAGAGAAGAGGTGTACACTCTGGAGTTCTCAGTGATGAAGGAGTTGCCGAAATGGGTCGGGAATAGCAGTGCCAAGCTCTGGGATTTGGACCTACTGCTACAGACAGTGGGAGCTATGGCAGGTCTTAGAGCATGGGGGTGAATTCCTGAGTGGTCCAGCCCTCGCTCTCTCTCTCTCAGGTGCAGACACGCAGTGCTGATGAGCCCATGACTACCTTTGTCTTATGCAATGAATGTGGCAATCGCTGGAAGGTCTGTATGTCCGTAACTTTCTCCCTCCCCTGTCATCCACAGCCGCTGCCCCACAGAAGGAGTACTATACCCACAGCCAAGAAGGGGGGCTGACCAGCCTGTGCAGAGTGGGTCTGCAGAGCTGGAGATAGAGGCAGGCAGTTGGGGAGGCGGGGAGAGGGCGCATGTGCATGTTTTTGTTCTGGAAGGCACCCAGTGCGGGTGGGAGGAACAGTCCACATTTTATCACAGGATGGGCAAGTCTGTCATTTGAGCACAGATGCAGTCAGCCTCCTGAGATCCACAGAAGGGAGGGAAAACAACAGCACTCTGCCTTTGGACCGCACCTCTTTGCAAAGTGCTTTCACAGATGGGACTTCCTTTGAACCCTGCCAGAGCCAGGGATGACAGGAAGGCTGAGCCCTGTCAGGGGGCATTGCCACCAAATAGCTCCCAGGTCATCCTCCCTTCGTAAGGCAGCTCTGGAAGAGCCCTACATTACCCAAGACTGTAATCTGGGCTGTCCCAGCCCCTGCAAAGACAGAGGTTTTGTTTTCAGGCATGGGAGCCAAGCAAAGACTCCTCCCAGAGTGCTCTTTCCTGCCACGTCTTCTTCTGAAAAAACTCAGTGTGATCGTGTGACTAATGTCAGTTCCCATTACTGTCTGACGTGCACAAGCACTGGGTGATGTGCGGGCCACCAGGCAGCCGGCAGGGGCTCCAGAAGTTCTGAGGTACTTAGCGAGGAGCCCAAGACTGGCTGGGAGTCGGGAGCCCTGGTTGTAGGTCCCACTCTGCCCTCCTCGTTGTGTGGCCCTGAGCAGGTCACTCACCTCCCTGAGCAAAAGGGGGATGATAATGCCTTTCTCCCATGGCTGATGTGAAGATTATTACATACGCATACACACTTTGCAAACAATTATGAGAAATGTTCCTTACAATATTACTCTCACTTTCAGGTGAGGAAATTGAGCTGCTGAAAAATATTTAGCAAACACAAAGCCATGCAGTTTGGAGTACTGAAAGACAATACTCCAAATTCCTGATCCATTGAGTTTTCTGCAGCCTTACTAAGGGCCTCGACAGCCCTGGGGCCTCATTAGAACGGCCATATTTTTTAAGGTAAAAGTCAGATGATTGTGTATTTTTCATTTATTCACCTATTGAGCACTTAGGGATGGGGCCAGCTTAGTGGCCTCGTGGTTTAGAGCGTGGGCTTTGGCATCAGGTTCAGATTCTACCTTTATCACTTACAAAGTGACTTTGCTAAGTGACCTGAACTCTCCAGGCCTGAATTCCTCATCTATAAAAAGGGAGTATTAATATCTAGTCTACAGAGCTGTTTTGAGGAATTACAGAAGGTAATATAAACAAAGCATTAACGGCTTTGTTATTAACAGCTGATAGCTCATATGGTATCTTTGTCAAATCGAAAAAAGGTCTCCCTGCCTCCAAGTAGTCATAGCCTTGCACCAGGGTACAGAGCTAGGCAAACAGGGCAGGAGCTAAGTTTCAGCCCCAACTTGCCCTGGGGCCAGGCTCTCTTGTGCAGTGCGCAACCTGTACAACCATAACAAAAAAAAAAGCCCTGAGCACTTATGGGCTGGCACATAGAAACCACCATTCTTATTATTCTGAGTTTGTTACCTACCAGTATTATGGGAGTTTGGGCAAGTCACTAAACCTGTCTGAATTGCTTTTTACCTGTGAAAATGGGAGTGATAAATATATAGTGCCTACCTCATAGGGTGATCATGAGGATGTACTATTGCTTAGCCCAGAGTAAGTGCTCAATAAATGGTAGCTCTTGTGATTATAACTGTTGGGAAGAGGACATTCTGCATGCTCCAAATCCAGCTCCTCTTCCTTCATTCCTATTAGTTGGAGCGACAGGGCCCACTAGAGATGGCAGCTACATGACTTCTGACAACATTTTCAGGTAGCGCCCATTGCCATGTGGGAGGCCTAAAGTCTAGCCATCTGATGACTAATAATCACAGTGATATTTTTGACCACGAATTAAAAGCCCACCACATACCCAGCATCAAATTTCCTATTATTATTGCCAGCCTTTTGCACTGGCCAGAATTATGATCCCATTTCACAGCTGAGTGATTTATTCAAGGCCACACAGCCAATAAGGGCAGAGCTGGGATTTGGACTCTGGTTTTTATGGCTCCGATACTACCTTCTTTTTCATGTCTTCCCCGCCCCTGGCTTCCTTGAGTGACACAGGGAGAGCTCTAAAATGGTATTGCCTTTTTGGTTTTGTAGTTCTGCTGATAGAACCACCAGCCAGGATTTCGGTGAACAAGGTGAGGAAGAACAAAGAGAAAGCACTAAGCCATTGTAGCTGGAGAAAAAATAAAAATTCAGATGAAGAAAAATGCTGAATTCTGAATGGGGTCTTAGGGATCAGAGGGAGAATTCTTTTGCAAACTAATAATCTGTTATTAAAATTGATTCGCTAACAGGGGAGCCTAATTGGGGTATGATGCTCAGAGTCTGTGTCGACAAACCTCTTGCAGAAGCTCAGAGACTTCAGAGCCTCATGGCTGAGGTGTCAATGTCTTATTGGACTGTGGGCTGACAGTCCTTTGCTTTGGGTCCCTTCCCTCACATCCCAACCTCTCAGCTTTTACTGAATTGAAAAATACCAGCCGGACACAAAGCTTACCCCACCCCACCCCAGAGTCATATGAGCAACAGCTGGTACCCTGCTTGGCATCAGCAGATGGGACTCCCACGCCGTATAGAAAGGTCTCTTCCCAGACTCTCTGCCATCCCCTGTTCGTAGCTGACTTCAGGGCCTTTAAGGACTCCAGACCTGGTCCCTCTAGGCAGGGAACAGATCATCTTGAGCTCAAGTTTTCGGAGTGAAGGGTACAGCAATGCCCAAGTTCTGCAGATCCTGGGGCTCAGAACCCACTCAGCACAGCTCCATCTGTGGCCTGAGCTTCAGAGGAAGTCTGTAGGGCACGAGGGGCCTTGTCACATTCCTCCTGCAATGACATTGGCTTGCTTTTTAGGCTTATAGGAGCTTTAGGCAAATCTAGAACCTTCTGGAAAAGCCTTGTGAGCAGGTCTGGTGGGCATGTCCTGGGTCTCAGTCTCTGACTATCCCTAGCCTTCCTGACAGCCCCAGGCTGAGCCTCCTGGACTCTGTGTTTTCTAAAATGGCCTAAGGACAGGAGTCTCTGAACTCCTGGCAACTTGGGCAAGTCACTGAACCTCTCTGAGCTGCTTTCTTACCTGTAAATATAGGAGCAGCACGAGTGCCTACTTCAAAGGGTGATGGTGCAGAGGCGGCTGGTTTCTGTCTGCCTTGGTTCCCTCTTAGGGCAGCTGTTGGGAGTAACTTCCGCCCACGTTCCTTATATGCCCGGGCCTCATCCACTCTGGAATTGATTACTGCCTTCCTCCTTCCACCCATCATGTGCCTCCTCCTATAGACGAAACGGTGGATAGGAAGGAAACGGTGCATAGAAATCTGCCACCATCTTCAGCCTTGCCAACGTCAGATTTGGGGTGGGTCCTTTGGAAGGACGGAAAATTTTTTTTTTTTTTAAGATTTTATTTATTTATTTGACAGACAGAGACACAGCGAGAGAGGGAACACAAGCAGGGGGAGTGGGAGAGGGAGAAGCAGGCTTCCCGCTGAGCAGGGAGCCCGATGAGGGGCTCGATCCCAGGACCCCGGGATCATGACCTGAGCCGAAGGCAGACGCCCAACGACTGAGCCACCCAGGCGCCCCAAGGACGGAAAATCTTCTCTCAGAAGATAAAACACACAGAGATTGTCAGTGGCAGAACCAGGACCAAAACCTTGGTCTTCTGCTTCCTGTCATTGTGCCTGATGCTATGGAAGCTCCGGAGCCGAACACAATGCTCAGCCCCTGCCTTCCAGGAATGCCCGGCCTGGCAGGGAAAGAAACCATAAGCAGTCTTCCACACCGGACAGGATGTGATAAATGCCATACCTGAGGTACAAATATTACCCACAGGAGTGGGGAGCAGTGTTGTTTACACAGCCAGGTGTTTCTTAAACTGGGCCCGAATCCCCTGGGGATCATGTTAAAAATGAAGATACTGATTGAACGGGTCTGGGCTGGGGGGAGGGGAGTCTGAGTTTTTCTTTCTTTTTTTTTTTTTAACTTTTACTTATTTATTTATTTTTGAGAGAGAATGCGTATGCAAGCGGGGGGGGGGAGGGGCAGCGGGAAAGGGAGAGAGAGCATCTCAAGCAGACTCCACATCCAGCCCTGAGCCCCCAAGTGGGGCTCAATCTCACGACCCTGAGATCATGACCTGAGTGGAAATCAAGAGCCGGACACTTAACCGACTGAACCACCCAGGTGTCCCCTGCCTTTTTTTTTTTTTTGGTTAACTTTTATTTATTTATTTATTTTTAATTTTCTATTTTTTTGAGATTTTTCATTTCTTACAAGCTCCCAGGTGATTCTGATACTGCTGGTCCACAGACCATGCTTTGAGTAGTAAGGGTTGAGATATCCAACTTTTTCTTTGCATGATCAAATCTTCCACCCAAATGTCTAGAAACCAAAAGCAACAATTATCAATATAACTGTGTCGATAAATGTTTCAGGTGGCCCCGTGGGGTGACTTTCAGTAGTCACAGTCTCAGTACCCATTGTGCTCCTCGTGTCGTGGGCAGTTACAACACAGGAAAAAGTACAAACGCTGAATCTCCGCCCTCAATAACCTTACTGTTTACAAAGGAGATGAGTCAGATTGAACAGCACAAGAACAAGTCGGCTCCAGTCGGCACATCTATACAGTACACTTCCACTTCACAAAAGGACACAGAAAAGCATGAATAGGCCTCAGACTGTGTTCATCAGCAGACATCAGTATCCTCCCAACTGGTCTCCCTGTGTCCACTCTGGACCTGTTCCAGTTCATGCTCTCCCCTGCGCTGACCAGAATAGGCTTCTCAAAATTGCAAATCTGATCATGTTATAGTGCCCCCCCTCTACCACCCCAAATTTCAGGCCTTCCATTTCCCCCCACTGTGTTTGGCAGGATCCACAGGCCCTGCAGGGCTGGCCTCTGCCCTGCCCCCATACTTTGTGCCCCTCGTCACATAGTCCTTGCACACAGCCTGTTGGCTGGGACTCATGATTTAACCCCATCCCCTCCTTCATGTCAAAGACAAAGAGGGGCGAGCTGCAAGGGAGTTAGCATGAACTTCTGCCACCAAGAAGGCTTCCCAGGGGAGGGGAGATTGCTCCCTTACAGGAGGAAAAAGGCAAGGACAGGGAAGGTGAAACAGAGACCATGCTTGGGATGAAGGAGAGGACTTCTCACCCGCAATGTCATGGCCAAAAGACCTTGAAAGCAAAGTACATTCAAGATCTTATGACCAACTTAGAAGATATTTTCTAAAGGTTACAGGAACCTGAAAGACTATATGGAGTGAGAAATCTTTCCTAGTAGGCTCATCCAGACTACCAAATCTGTCTTTAGCCCTGAGATTCCTTGAGCTTAAGACTTATGTCACCAAGTGTCTCTCTGGATTTCTCCTCTCAATACGCTGGCCCTCTCCATACAATTAATCTGAAACTAAACTCACATCTTCTCTTAAGTGCCCTCTTCTGTCTTTTATATTTGTCAGCAAGATCGCTACCTAGAACCATCTCTGACCCTCCCCTTGCCCTCTTCTCTTTGTCAGTTACTGATTCTATTGCCCCTCCCTTGCCCAACCCTGCTCTCCCCCAACACTAGCAGCATTCTTTTTTTTTTTTAAAGATTTTATTTATTTATTTGAGACAGAGAATGAGAGAGACAGAGAGCACATGAGAGGGGGGAGGGTCAGAGGGAGAAGCAGGCTCCCTGCCGAGCAGGGAGCCCGATGCGGGACTCGATCCAGGGACTCTAGGATCATGACCTGAGCCGAAGGCAGTCGCTTAACCAACTGAGCCACCCAGGCGCCCACTAGCAGCATCCTTTCAGGGTTTCTTTGTTCCTACACTGATGCAAAGACCTTCTACTGGCCTCCCAGCTCAGAGCATCCCTACCTTACCTGCATCTGCCCCGCACGGCTCTGAGCATCGTTCCCCCAGTCTCCTCCACTGGATTCCCTCCAGCTGGCAAACAAAACTCAAACTCCTTGGTTTGACTTTCAAGCTCCTCTCCTGCCTTGGGTGGCTTATCTTCCACCTCTGCTGCCCCTTTGCTCCAGCCTACGGGAGGTATTTGCCCTGTCCTTGAAAACCTGATGGGCCTTCCCAGCTGTGGCTGCCTATTCTGATCCCTCCCACCACCCCGTCCTAATCTTACCCATTCTTCAAGGCTCTCCTCAGGTGCGTATCTTTTTTTTTAAATTGAAGTACGGTTGACATACATTCTTTTTTTTTTTTTAAGATTTTATTTATTTATTCATAAGAGAGAGAGAGAGGCAGAGGGAGAAGCAGGCTCCCCGCTGAGCGGAAAGCCCGATGTGGGACTCGATCCCAGGACCCTGGGATCATGACCTGAGCCGAAGGCAGACGCTTAACCATCTGAGCCACCCAGGCACCCGGTTGACATACATTCTTAGTTTCAGGTGTGCGGCATAGTGATTTGACAATTTTATACATGACCCAGTGCTCACCACAGAGATTATAGTCCCCATTTGTCACCATACAACATTAACGATATTATTGACTATATTCCCTGTGCTGTACTTTTCGTCTCCGTGACTTATTTATTTTATAACTAAAGTTTGTACCTCTTAATCCTCTTCACCTAGTTCACCCCTCCCCCTGCCTCCCTCGCCAGATGCACATCTTCTGTGAAGTCTTCTCCAATCCCCTGGCCGCAAGAGATGTTTCTCAGAACTCCCACACTGCTGTGACACTTTAATAATTACACTGCATTCTACCATGATGATGATGATTTCTTTGTATCACAGTATCAATAACACCTATTAATTATTGAGCATTGGCTAGCCAGGTATCTTGGGCACATTATGGAACTTCTCTATGCCTCTCTTTTTCACCTGTAAAATGGTGGCAATTACGGCACCTGGCTCAAAGGGTTGTGAGGATTCGTTACAATCATACCCGACACAAAGTACTTGATTAGTGAATGTTAGCTATTGTCATTACTGTGAGTATAGGGGCTTACTTTATATTGTCCCCACTAACCCTCAGACCCCATGAACTGGGTTACTATTATTATACTCTTTCGTTTTGTTTTTTAAAGATTTTATCTTTAAGTAATTTCTACACCCATCATGGGGCTCAAACTCACAAGCCCAGGATCAAGAGTTGCATGCTTTACCGACTGAGCCAACCAGGTGCACCCTTTAAAAAAAAAAAGCTTTTATTATTTACTTTGAGAGAGAGAGCACGTGCACACAGAGGGGGAGGGGCAGAAGCAGAAGGAGAGCGAACATCTGAAACAGACTCCAGGCCGAGCTTAGAGCCCCACACAGGGCTCAATCCCATGACCCTGAGATCATGACCTGAGCTGAAATCAAGAGTCAGACACTTAACTGACTGAGCCACCCCAGCACCCCCAGGTGCCCCTTTTTTAAATTGTGATAACATATACATAACATGGGGCGCCTGGGTGGCTCAGTCGTTAAGCGTCTGCCTTCGGCTCAGGTCATGATCCCAGGGTCCTGGGATCGAGCCCCGCATCAGGCTCCCTGCTCAGCAGGAGGCCTGCTTCTCCCTCTCCCACTCCCCCTGCTTGTGTTCCCTCTCTCGCTGTCTCTCTCTCTATCAAATAAATAAATAAAATCTTAAAAATATATATATATACATAACATAAAATTTATGATTTTAACCTTTGTTTTGACTTTTTCTTTTAATGGAATGCTTCACGGGTTTGCCTGTCATCCCTGTGCAGGGGGCATGCTAATCTCTGTATTGTTCCAACTTTAGCGTACGTGCTGCCAAAGTGAGCACCGCTCTTAACCATTTTTAAGTATACATATAGTTCAGTAGTGTTAAGTACATTCACATCGTTGTGCAGCCAATCTCCAGAACGTACTCATCTTACAAAACTGCACCTCTATACCTATTAAGCAATTCCCCATTCCCTCCTTCCCGAGCCCTAGGCAAGCACTATTCTGCTTTCTGTCTCTACAAATTGTATTATCACACTCTTTTTTAATTTAATTTAATTTAATTTTTTTATTTTTATTTTTTTAATTTTTTTTTAAAGATTTTATTTATTTGTGAGAGAGAGAATGAGAGACAGAGAGCATGAGAGGGAGGAGGGTCAGAGGGAGAAGCAGACTCCCTGCCGAGCAGGGAGCCCGATGCGGGACTCGATCCCAGGACCCTGAGATCATGACCTGAGCCGAAGGCAGACGCTTAACCAATTGAGCCACCCAGGCGCCCTATACTCTTTTTTCTTTTAAAGATTTTATTTATTTATTTATTTATTTGAGAGAGAGAGCACAAGCAGGTGGAGGGGCAGAGGGAGAGGGAGAAGCAGACTCCCCACGGAGCAGGGAGCCCAATGTGGGGCTCGATCCCAGGACCCTGAGATCATGACCTGAGCCGAAGGCAGACGCTTAACCGACTGAACCACCAGGCGCCCCGTATTATCATACTCTTTTCACAAACTGAGGATACCAAAGTTCAGAGAGTAATTTGCTTCTAGGAGACAGAATCTGGACTTGAACCCAGGCCCGCGTTCATGCCCTAAGCCACCGTGAAATAGGGCTTCATCTCGCAGGGCATCTGTGATGTGTTTTACTTCCCTCATAACAGTGATGGTGCCCGTGTGCCCAGGCCTCCTCTGTGCGCGTGTTTTGCTGCCATTCTCCCATTTAATCCTCACAGCAGCCCGCGGTCATTGTGAGGGGCCGCGTCCTGTCTCCCTGCACAGTGTCTGATACAGAACTGAGACACAGCAAGCATGTTCAGTGAATATGGGCCTATCTGACGCCTTTAAGTAGGCGAACTCATACTGAATAAGTTTGTTGTACGTTTTTAATGCAATTGTTTACATTTTTTGGAAAATGTTGATCCTCTCAGGAGAAAACCAGCTGAAATTCGGGAGCTGGTAAAGAACTTCTTTTCCAATCCTCTCCACTCCCCCTCCTCCTGCAGAGTCAATCTGCTCTTCTCACCCCAGCCCAGCCCCCAGGCGGCCCCCCATCTGCACCTCATCACCAGCTCTGCTGATCCACGGCCAAAGGCTGAGGCAGGCAGGCAAGGGGACATGAGAGACTGTCCCTGCTCGGCTTCCTCCCCCTGCCACTCCACCCACACACTCTTCCCTCTAGCCCTGCACAATCCTGGCCATCCTGGAACAAGCTCTGTCCTTTCACACCTCCCTGACTTCGCACATGCTGTTCTGGAAGACTGGAATGCTTTCCCTCCCCTCGTTCTCCACCTCCAAGACTCCTACAGTCTTTGCTAAGCCAGCTCAGACTTCACCTCCTCTGAGAAGCCTCCTCCCCTACCCTCCGCTGTCAGTCCGCCCCCACCTCTGCACAGACTTGCTCATCATATACTACAGCACTTGGACTGCAACGACCCAGAGTCGGTGTGTCCCCCATGTCCCCAACTCCCTGTGCTGGGATGACGCTTCATCTCCGCTCGTTGCAGGGGTCAAGAGGAACCCGGGCGCTTCGATTTTTTTGATGCTCCTAGTATATTTGAAAACGAAGAGATGGCAAAACAAGTTCACAAATAAATACTGAGGCATATTTTTCCATGTTTAATACATTAATGGCTTCTGATATAAAAAAATTACACCATAATTGTGCTGCTCACAAGATGATTATAGGATTTATTAAAATACAATAATGTATAGCGCTCCATGGGCATAGTGGTCTTTGTCAATAAGAAACAAGCCTAAAGGGCGCCTGGGTGGCTCAGTTGGTTAAGCGACTGCCTTCGGCTCAGGTCATGATCCTGGAATCCCTGGATCGAGTCCCGCATCGGGCTCCCTGCTCGGCGGGGAGTCTGCTTCTCTCTGACCCTCCCCCCCTCATGCTCTCGCTCTCATTCTCTCTCTCAAATAAATAAATAAAATCTTTAAAAAAAAAAAGAAAAAGAAAAAAGAAACAAGCCTAAGGACACAGAAAGGGCATCTTTGATCAAATTGGTCAGTGGATCTGACACAATGTATAATCCCATTCGGAGATAATGTCAAAAGCCTAACTTGGAGACCCCGGCCCAGTGGTTCTGCTGGCCCCTTTCCATGATGAGGGGCTCCGCTGCCCCCTGTGTACCCAGTAGGTGCTCATTGTTTGCTGAATGATGGGAACACGTGCAGCTTTCCAAGTTAATTATTGAAAATTCACATACAATAAGTATTCCTGAGAAACAATGAAGTCCTGAACAATGGGGCAGGAAGCCACCTCCTTCTCCAGTGACCCCCCAACCCTCAGAGTCCCGCTGAAGGCTGCAGCAGGAAGCCCCTCACCCACCGTCTTTCCTCCCCTACTTCCCCAAGGGCACCAAAGGCAGTCGGGCTTTCCCGTTGCTGTCAGCCTCTCTTCTCCTCCACCCTCTTGAGGGTCCCAGGTGAAGAGAGAGAAAAGCACATACCCACAGAAGGAGGCCAGCAGCCTGCCCCCAGGCAGGCCTGAGGAATAAAAGAAACACTGGGAGGATAAAGAAGGACTTAAAGCACTGAAGCAAGGGGGAGAAAGGCTTAAAGAAGTTTACAAAGCAATCTGTCAGAGAAGGGATGAAAAGGGAGCCCCGCTGGGCTGAGAGGCTCGGGCGCTCAACTCACCTTAGACCCAATTAGAAATGCGCAATTACTCCACCAAAGTCTGAACTGACCTCCCTCCTCCTTGTCCCAGAAGTTTCCCTGAGCGTGAGGCCTCAACTTGCTGGGTTCTGGCAGCCTCACATACCTCTGCTCTACTGGGCTCAATCTACCAATTTGCTTGAATCCACCCACTGGCCCAACTTCCAAGTCCCTCTGGATTTCCAGCAGAAACACTATGTGAGGTGAAGGTCACCAGCAGATTCTCACAGCTCTTGGGCCACTCTGACTTCCCAGATTTTATGAGCCAGGGTAAATATCCACAGGCCTTTCTGGAAGTCTCCCCTGCCACCAAAGGCAGGATTAATAATAATACCAGCTGTCATGTGAGTGTTCACTCTGTGTGGAGTGCTTTATGTCACCTCACTTAGTGCTCACCACCACCTGAGGTATGATTGCCCTGTTTTACGGAAAGGGAAATGGGCCTGGAGAGATTGAATGACTATCTGGATTCCAACTCAGGTCTGTCTGACCTTGATACCCCACATTCTTCCCACTATGGACACTGCCTCTCGGGGACCCTCTACAATTCCTTCCCCCCCTTTTTTTGTGGTGCCCAAATAAATTTCAGATGGGGTAGGATGGTACAATTCTGAGCTATCTAAAGAATTCCTAGCCTCACAGCTGGGGGTGAGAAGAGGAGTGGGAGTGGGGGAGTCCGCCTCATGGCTGGGTAGGGTCCTAGTTCTTTTTAGACACTTGAGTAATTTAACCATAAATAACTGGGCACTGGGAACAGGACACTCACTAATAAAAGCATAGCCTGGAGTCATGTTGGGGGTGAAGGGGGGGGGAAATTCAAGTCACTCAGTGGGTGGATGTATCTGCAAAACAAAAGAAAAGCCCCTTTCCCAGCCCAGGCAGAGAAGTCTCCTGTAAAGTTAGAGACAACAGGCTTCTGGGCACGTAGCCAAGGTTCTGGGGATATTTATAACTTGAAGAGGGTGGGAGTCCCTAATAAGCTGCTATATTCTTTTTCCATCACTTCCCTCTCCAAGGCTACAGCGAGCTCAGAGCTCTTCCCCACGCAGAATGCCTGCTTACCCTAATGCTCCGCTGCCATTGTCTAGTTTTCTCATCCTGGCTGGGGAAAGGGAAGGCTTCAAGTCCTTCCGTTCGGAAGAACTCCAGCTGAATGCAGCTTAGCTGCTGCTGGTGTTTCTTGGCTAGCTGCTGTGGTCTCAGAGATCTGCCTATGAGTCTGTGGTTTCCCTGAGCTGCCTGAGAGTCTGGGAGTCTTTGGGATCTGCCTGCAAGTCTACGGATTTGAAATCTGCCTACGGGGCTGAGATATCCGGGATCTGCCAGTGATCTCCAGAATCTTCCCAAACACCCAAAGTCTCAGAGAACTCTGCCTGCGGATTTGGAATCTGTTTGAGGCCTCTCAGATCTTGGAGCCGACGATCTAGTGGATTTTTGCGGGTCAAGAGGTAAGTCTGTTCTTTTCCCAGCTGGGTTTTTCGGCTTCCCACCTTCAGCCGGTCAGGGACTGCTAGCATCCTGATGGTCTCCCCGGCTTAGGCCCCCAGAGCCCCGAGAGCCCATCCGTACAGGAAACCGTCAGAAATCCTTTTAGGAGACAAGCTCTCAGGGATGATAAGGACGACTCTTCTCAGCCCTGAAGCTTGACTCGCTCCTCCTTAGGCGCCCTGTCCCCCACCCTCCCTTCTGTATTCCCTCAGGGTTTTCGCTTCCCCTCCACTGGGCGCAACTCAACCCGCCCCTTAAGGGGCGCCCTCTTTAGAAGGATAAGGTTAGATTCCCCTATAGGGTTAATAGCGATGGGGCCGGGACGCCCCCTGGCCAAGCCGCGGACTGCACTAGCCAGCGCACGGGCGGCGCGGGGCTTTCTGGGAGTTGTAGTCTGAGTGGCCGGGTGAGGGTGCCGCAGGCACTGCTGGGAGACGTAGTGCGTGGGCGGAGCTCAAAGTTACAGCGCGGCCGCTGAGTGCCCCCTGGGGAGTGGGCGGCAGCAGCTTTCCTCTCAGGCCCCGGCTGTCAAATGAGGGCTAATCCCAGAAGAACCCAACACAGGCCAGCGCCTAAATTAGGCCCGACGTGGAAGTGAAGGCCCGACTCAAGATAAGCTTCTAAGGTCGTGAGGAGATGCAGGGCAACCTCTCTGGCTTAATCGGGCTGTGGTCTCCGAGAGAAGAAAGCGGAAGATACTACGCCCTGGCTAGGAGGCCGTGCTTCTTTCTTCACCCTTTTGTTCTTTTCCCTCCTTGGTTTTTGGCCTCTGACTGGCCTTTGTACGCCAGAATGGAACTCCAACTCCCGGCAGGCCACCGGGGCAGGCGCAGGCGTGATAGAGGTGCTCAGCCACGCTACAAGAGGCGGGCCTAGTGTTCGGCATCTAGTTGGCAGAGCGTTTTGCGAGCTTTGCTCGCTGGTTGGTTCAGGTAGCTGCCGGAAAGGTCCAGCCTCGAGATGGGAGAGCGGAGGCGTTCTGTGGGCTGGGCTGAGAGCCTCCTCCCCGAGACAGCATCGACTTGACCCCCGGCCCCGGAGGGCCCGAGCCAGGGGGCTGTCTTAGTAAATTCCTGCAGTGCCTCCACCCTACGGTGGCGGAGACACAGAGGGCGGGTCGCGCTCGAGGGTCAGGGAGGAGAGTGACCCGGCCCGGGTCCAGGGCCCTCCCCACCCGCCTGGCGGCCAGAACTCCAGCCCTGGGGAGTGGGCAGGGCCTGTTTTCTGTGCCTCACGCCCTGCTTTTCGCCTCCTTTAGCGCTGTCTGCTAGCTGCTTTTCCTGCTCTATCTTCTGGGAGGTGAATCCTTGAGTCCGTGATGGCAGCCACCCTGCTCATGGCTGGGTCCCAGGTAAGCCAGGGGTGGCTTCTCGGACCCTGCCTCTGCCTATCCACCTTGTCCCGGCGTTTCTTTGCTCTGCAAATCCCTGTTGGAAATTCCCTGGGATTAGTAATTAGCTCGCTTCGGTGTCCTGCCTCCAGGAACCTCAGTACCAGGCCATTGATAGCCACAAGCATTTATTGAACACCAGCTGTATGCCTTTAAATCCTGGGGAGACAAAAGATGGATGAAACGGGCCCTCCCCGCCTGCTCACAATCTGTAGGGAGACGGACGCATCCGGTTAACCGTGATACAACGTGATAACAGCTTTATTTGTCGCAGGAACAAAGTGCCGTGGTGTGGGAACCAAGAAGTGGGAGTGATTAATTCTCGAGAGTCCGAGGGAGGAGTGGGCTAGGGGCCACTGAAGAACAGTTGGTACTGGAACAGGGCCTTAAAGAATTGTAAGATTTCACTGGTCTGAGAAAGAGATTCCATGAAAAGAGGAACATTGTGAGTAAAGGTATGGAGTGATGTAGGTGTTGTATGTGTTCTGAGAAGACATACAGAAGATAAAGTTCTGGAGTGGGCAGGGGTGTCTGGCCATGGAACCAGAGCAGTCAGCTGGTAAATGGCTCCCTTCTCTACCACATCTCTTTTTTTGCCTGCTTATTTCTTCTCTCGACTCTCCAGATCAGGGTTAATTCCTTTTACCTTCTCAACAATTCTAGCCATGTCTCTAATTTCAAGAAGAAAAACTGGTACTAACCTCCGGATACCAAGTAATGAAGAAGCATTGTGTGATTTCAGGCACCTGTGACATTTGAAGATATGGCCATGTACCTCACTCGGGAAGAATGGAGACCTCTGGACCCTACACAAAGGGACCTTTACAGGGATGTTATGCAGGAGAATTACGGAAACGTTGTCTCATTAGGTAAGTGAGGATTCTCTCTTTCTTTACCCCCACATTTTCAAGACTCTCAAAAATGGCTTAACTCTTTCAACGCAACCTAGTTGTTGGATTTTTAAAAGCATTTAATTGGCTTTTGGCTTGAGTTGAGTCCTCAGGCAAATCTTTGAGCGTAGGAACATCAAGGTCATATTGTCTAAAAAGAAAAACTGTTTCTGCCCATTTTAGAAACATTCAGATTTCTTGTGCCCTGAGTCATCTACCATTCTCCAGCCTGTTTGTACAGATCACTGACCAAACAGGTCTGACATAATGGTGCGTGCCAGGATGTAAATGCCCCTGTAAATGGTGGTTTTACTGGAAGATGAGGGGGGTTCTGACCCAGGTTCATGGGAGGGCAAAAAGCCGCATTTTTCTGTTTGTTTTGGCTTCAGAGCCCTGGCTTGGCCTGAGGTCCTTTATTTATCTGGAGCAGGTACTTGTCTAGAGGTGTTTCAGAGTCGATCGTAGGTTTTGAGTGTGTCAAATGTTGTTCAGGAGAATCATGAACTAAATGAGATCACAGATGCTATTAAGAAGGGAAGCTAATTTTTTTGATCGTCTGCAAACCTGTCTTCTCTTAGCTATCCTTTGGTCTGGATGTAACTATAATAAACAGTATATTCTTGAGCTGAACAGTCTTTTGACTCACTTCATCCTCTGGTAAGACTTGACAGAAGTTAGTAACTGTGTATGGTTCACTAGGTCATCTGCCACTCATTAGGACTAATTCTTTTTTGGAAATCTTTATTTCTGTAGCCTTTTCCAGAACAAAAGGCAACTATGAGGGGTTTCCTTTTAAACTTGGGCTCCTCCTGATGTTCCAAGATTCTTGGATCTTTCCTTTAGAAAAGTAACTAGAAATGAAGTTATTTACCTAGATGTATTGCAGTCTCTAATCCCAGTATTCCACTCAATCCAGCAAAAGCAGGAAGTGAGAATCTTAAAGAAATGTAAATTTATATGGCTATGGTCCAGCCCAAGGAGCACTTGTTAGAAGGATGGAAGCATGGAAGAACACACACACACACACACACACACAAGTTCCTTTCCCAAGTAAATTTGGGACTGGGTTAATAATATTTACGAGGTTTCTTTACCTCAGACTTCAGAACCTTTAATGTGTTAAATGTCATGTGAATTCTAAGAAGATGTTGGATGCACCATTTACCAAATGAATTTATTCATGGACCCTTTTCTCCCAGCATACCTAGTAACTTTTTGTTGAAGAGTATGCTGAGAATACAACTTGGAAAATACAGTGTCTGGTAGAAAGTTTCTTGTAGAAAGTGGTTGTATATTTTCATTTTCATTTGAAGACTGTATTTAGTTAATGTCAGGTATGTTCTGAGCCTGGCATTGTTTTTGCATCCTCCAACCTTCCCTCCTCTATTCATATTAAAAGGCCACTGGAAAGTAACAAGTAACGTTTAGCAGTCACCTTTCCTGTCAACTAAGACATGATATAGCTAGACAAAAATTTGTTTTTTTCATAATAACCCAGTAGATTCTTAGTAACTAGTATATAATGGTAATAATGAAGACTTGAAAAGTTAAGAACATAACATGCAACACAATCACACATAAAATATCTAGATCCTTGGCTTTTAGAGATTCTAAAATAGAGTCTTGTATACTTTCTGTTTCTGGCTCTTTTCTTTCAAAACACCAGGAATATATACAATTTTCATAAAGAACTATAAACTGTAGTGGTACAGAGCACGAACTATTATCAGACAGACCTGGATTTAAATCTTGGCTCCACCATTTTCTACTCTGAGCCTGCACAAGTCACTTCTCTGGGTCTTTTTTTTTTTTTTTTTTTTTAAAGATTTTATTTATGGGGCGCCTGGGTGGTTCAGTCGTTAAGCATCTGCCTTTGGCTCAGGTCATGATCCCAGGGTCCTGGGATCAAGCCCCACATCGGGCTCCCTGCTCCACGGGAAGCCTGCTTCTCCCTCTCCCACTCCCCCTGCTTGTGTTCCCTCTCGCTGTGTCTCTCTCTGTCAAATAAATAAATAAAATCTTAAAAAATAAAAATAAAGATTTTATTTATTTATTTGTCAGAGAGAGTGCGTGATCAAGCAGGGGAAGCAGCAGGCAGAGGGAGAAGCAGGCTCCCCGCTGAGCAAGGAGCCTGATGTGGGACTTGATCCCAGAACCCTGGGATCATGATCTGAGCTAAAGACAGACATTTAACTGACTGACCCACCCAGGTGTCCCACTTCTCTGGGTCTTGGATTTAAATCATTTAAATCATTCATAGAATGATTCATAGAAATCATCATAATGCCCGAGTTTCGGGGTGGTTGAGGTGATTCGGGTAAAGAACTTAGCACAATGCCTGGTACACAGTAGATAAATTTTTTTTGTGTATTTGCCAGTATTATTATTATTATTTACCCTTTATTACAGATTTTGAGATTAGGAGTGAGAACGAGGTGAATCCAAAGCAAGAGATTAGTGAAGATGTAGAATTTGGGACTGCCTCTGAAAGACCTGTTGAGAATACTGAGGAAAATCCTGAAAATGAAGAGGCCTTTGAAAGCGGGGATAGACCAGAAAGACAGTGGGGAGATTTAACAGCAGAAGAATGGGTAAGCTATCCTCTTCAACAAGTCACTGATCTGCTTGTTCACAAGGAAGTCCACACAGGCATCCGATACCATATATGCTCTCATTGTGGAAAGGCCTTCAGTCAGATCTCAGACCTTAATCGACATCAGAAAACCCACACTGGAGACAGACCCTATAAGTGTTATGAATGTGGAAAGGGCTTCAGTCGAAGCTCACACCTTATTCAGCATCAAAGAACACACACTGGGGAAAGGCCCTATGACTGTAATGAGTGCGGGAAAAGTTTTGGAAGAAGCTCTCACCTCATTCAGCACCAGACAATCCACACTGGAGAAAAGCCCCACAAATGTAACGAGTGTGGGAAAAGTTTCTGCCGGCTGTCTCACCTAATCCAGCACCAAAGGACACACAGTGGAGAAAAGCCCTATGAGTGTGAGGAGTGTGGGAAAAGCTTCAGCCGGAGCTCTCACCTAGCTCAGCACCAGAGGACCCACACAGGTGAGAAGCCTTATGAGTGTAATGAATGTGGACGAGGCTTCAGTGAGAGATCTGATCTCATCAAACACTATCGAGTCCATACAGGGGAGAGGCCCTACAAGTGTGATGAGTGTGGGAAGAATTTCAGTCAGAATTCTGACCTAGTGCGCCATCGCAGAGCCCACACAGGAGAAAAGCCGTACCACTGTAATGAATGTGGGGAGAATTTCAGCCGCATCTCGCATTTGGTTCAGCACCAGAGAACCCACACCGGGGAAAAGCCATACGAATGTAATGCTTGTGGGAAAAGCTTCAGCCGGAGCTCTCATCTCATCACACACCAGAAAATTCACACTGGAGAGAAGCCCTATGAGTGCAACGAGTGTTGGCGAAGCTTTGGTGAAAGGTCAGATCTAATTAAACACCAGAGAACCCACACAGGAGAGAAGCCCTATGAGTGTGTACAGTGTGGAAAAGGTTTCACTCAGAGCTCCAACCTCATCACACATCAAAGAGTTCATACGGGAGAGAAGCCTTATGAATGTACCGAATGTGAGAAGAGTTTCAGCCGGAGCTCAGCTCTTATTAAACATAAGAGAGTTCACACTGACTAAGTCCTGTAATTACAAGAAATGATTCATTTGAAGGTACAATTTTATTTGATATCAAAGAGCTCTCTGAAGACTGAGCTTCTTTTACCATACTGAATTTCTTTGTGGGCCATGGTTTAAAACATCAAAGAAGATAAGCCATTTGCAGTTCTGACCCACAACTCTGGGAATGTTATCCCCTCCTCGAAAGTAGTGATTTTTATTCATTTGATATTAATGAAGTACTTCATCAAAATCAGCCCCACAAATAACTGGGAATCAGAAGACCAGGGGATAAATGCTGGTAAATACTCAGGCCTGGAAATGGAGTAAATCTTTAAAACTTATTTCTCTCATCCTTGGCCCAAAGAACTATGCTAGGGGAAATGTTGGACTGTAATAGGGTGGTCACAGCTGCTTCGGAAAAAGACAACCAGAGACTGCCTGAATTGCCACACCTATTCACTCTCCATAGTAGTTGGGCACACACATCTTCCCCTTCAAAAGGCTTTTTCCTTGAGCTGCTCATGCATTTATATCTTTTCATCTTTCTGAGAGCAGGATTCTGCACAATGAAGGCAATGATCAAAACTTTTTTTCCTCATTGTTTCTAATTTAACTTTATTAAAGCTTGCATCTTTGCAAAAGCTAACTGAAGATACAGATTGAAGGGAAAAATGAGACACAGGTTTGGGGACCAAGGACTTATCAGTGGTAGTGACTTTAGCAAGAGATGCCCACTGTTGTTACTGCCATTAATCAAAATGTATTCATTTTCTTTGGGGATCATTGTAGGGAAAATATCTTCAAGGAAAGCTAGGACCATACTGATGGTGGATTGTAAGAAGCAAGTGGGATTGACCACTTCAGGGAAGGAAACACAATTCCTCTGCAAGAAACACCACCGGTCCTTTCTGTGTTCTTCCCCCTCTACCCTTTAAGATCAATTCTCTGTATACTGCTAAATGTAGAATTTGATAAGGGCCACATCCCAGTGTTTATCTTGGCTTGCATAAGGGCATGTGTAATGTACAGTAAAACGTGTATTCCTGTAATTTTTCAGTAGCAGAAACTGAATTCACACAGAATTAGCATGTTCTTGGGTGATGTTGATCATGTGACAGAACTACAGACAACTCCAATGTGAGAAATGTCCTTTTGTTTTCATTTTTTTCTAAGGAAAATATTTAAACCCTAGTGCTCTAGTGTGCACTCTCCTGTAAGATCTTTGTACAGAACTAAGCACTTGTTTATGTGTATCAGTCAATTATGGGAGATAATGACTGGACAGAGAGGGTGATTGTCCTGTTCTCAGACTGAATTGTCTTCTCTTTGGGCTAGTCACAAGGAATTAATAAACCTAGATAGGAATGTATTTCCATCCTCTCAGTCTACAGATACATGTGGTTAAAATGAGAGTTGACCCAATTTAAGCCTGTTAGTGTCAGTTCTCCTTATCCCAGCCCACCATAGGAATTAAGAAATACCCCAGATGTTGATGCTTACCCAGGTATTTGGGGGTGGCAGTGTGAGGGGGCTAGAGTAAGGAATATATATTTTTGAGCGTGCCCCCACGTTCTTTCTACTGTGCTTTATTGTGAGTGTTGTAACATTTGAAAAATACTTCTGCCATAGCTCTTTGGGACTTGGTGTGTTAAAGGAGCCAGTGGTTTCTCGGGTAATCTACTAAAATGAGTCATTAGGACCCACAGCTGTGTGGGACTGCATCCTTTGCAGCGACACAGCCTTGAAAGTAACAAAATGAAACACCACTCAGTCAAGGAGGTCTCTTTATTATGTTGCCACTCCTATTGAAATACAAACTTGGGCAGGGAGCATGTTTGGTGTTCTATACAAAATCTAGCCGACTGTGGGTATTCATATTTTAATTGTTGAATGACTTAACATGTTCTTAATGACTAAACTCGAATATGTCTTTTCCTGTATCAGTGTTGCTAATGGTTTTAATGAATATCAGAGTTCTCCTGTTCTTTCTGTGGGCCACAATGGGCATCAGCTTTGGAGTGGCCACAGAAGACAGCATCCTCACAACCCAAGTGTGTATCACTCCTTTTTTCTTCCCTACCCTCCTGCTCCACCCCAACCTGCTGCTGCCTTTGGCTTCTTAGAGGTGAGTGGCTCAAGAGGCTTCTAAGTGCCCCAGCCATCTCTCCACACGCATACACTCCAGCTGGGAAGTTAAAAGGGCAAGGGCCAGACCAGCTGTTGCCTCTCTTTTTCCTAATTGCTGCCCATCTGCTGTGTTGAGCTTTGTGTAGAACCTGTGCATCAGACTCTCCTTGCTAACGCTTTTTGCATGTCTTCTGCTCCCAGGTCTCTGGCTGCTTCTGCACATACCCTGAACACTTTGTGCCTGTTTTCTATGGTTGTGGAGAGTGAGTGAACAATAAGTGTGTAGAGCAGTTTTTTGTATGGTATTGGTCACAGTTATGCTAGTGTCTATCTACATCTGTAGTCTAACAATATTCTATAATTAAAAGTATAATTTTTAAAAATCAAAACACTGAGAATTATTTTAGTAATCCAGCACCGATTCTTAAAATGGCATTTCATCAGATTCATTAAAATGGGGCACGATTTTAATGCATTTACATTAAATGCATTTGTACAGATGTTCTTGTGGAAATTTGGGAGTACATTGTTTTCACACATAGGTGAGCCCTCTGGATATTGCCATATTTGGGGAAGATGCAAAAATCTGGGTAGTTTCCTATGAAGATTGGGCTGGTGGCAAAACAGCATGGAAATATTTGGTTATGAGTGCCTCATTAGCTTTGGAGAAGGAAAAAACAAACACATCCAAAAGCAGAAATGAGAGGAGGCCTTGTTGCTTTAAGGAGATATTTTGGGGTATCTGTTGAGAACGCTAAAACAATTTCTACTGAACCAGTATTGGGATCCCAGAACAGATACCTCTTAGAAACAGTCAAAGGCTCTCTATTCATGACAGAGTTAGAGTTTGCCTAAGGCAGTGATTATGTATTACTAGGGTGTGGCCACAATTTTCAAATTACTTACAAGCAATTTTGTCTTAAGAAACCTTTCTTTAAAGGGAGAGCCAGTCTAGGCAGAGGGAGGGAGTAGAAGTGCTTTAAATTGGGGAAAAATACAAATATGGAAGAAAAGTTGTAACCCTATAGACAAAACTTGGAAAAGAGATTTTATCAAAAAATTTTTAAAATTCTATTTTTCCCTCTACATGTACAACTATTTTTATTCCTGGAAGGAAAAGTTAAAGGAAAACGTGGGCTCACCTGGAGCCTCCGCTCTAAAGGTATTTGATATGTTAATACTTTGCCATTATTATAATGGAACAGATTTCCTTCTGTGTGATCTGTTCTCTAAGAGGCTAGTTTAGGGCTTTGCTTCCAGGCCACTAGGATACCGATGAATGCACTGAAATGATAATTTGTTAAGTGGTTCCCTACTGTTTGAAAAGTTGGTATTATTTGAAAAGGAGTTCCTATGCCCTGGGAGAAATGGACTTTTTGAAGCATTGGTTAGATACCCATCTCTACGGTATCGTGGGCTAGCGCTTATCTATGGGAGACTTGAAGATAAAAGGTCATTAGTGAAAAACAACTGAGAAGTGAAACTTAATAGAAGAAAATTACCTTGTCTTGACCTAAAATTGTTTCATAGTTAATCCCATTTTTAAATCTGTTTTCCTAAATGTTTCATGTTCAAAGTTTGTATCATTTTCAGCTCCTCCGGTTTTGTTTTTCCTTCTGGGAGAGATTGAGACTGATAACCTCAAAATCTCACTTTGAGTTTCACGACAGCCCCTGCACCTAGCTGGCATGTAGACACCTCCATTTGGAAATTACCCAGGCACCTTAAAATCAAACCCCAAACTGACCTTACTGCTTTCTTTCGCCACCTCCCAGCTGCTTCTCCTGTATTTTTCTTTCTTTCTCTCTTTCTTTTTTTCTTTCTTTCTTTCTTTCTTTCTCTTTCTCTTTCTTTCTTTCCTTTCTTTCTTTTAGATTTATCCATTTTAGAGAGAGAGGGCATGCATGGGGAGGGAGGGGCAGAGAGAGGGAGAAACTCTTCTAGCAGATTCCCTGCTGAGCAGGGAGCGGGGACATGAGGCTCGATCTCACCTTGAGATCACAACCTGAGCCGAAACTAAGAGTAGAATGCTTAACTGACTGAACCACCCAGGCACCCCTCCTGTATTTCTTAACTCAGTCACTGCCTAGTTATCCAAGCTAGAAACGTGCTTATCATACTCACCAGCTCCTGCTCCTTTTGGCATCCTCCCCAAACCAATAAACACTAGTGGAATATTCATTCAGACATGACCAACCTTGCTTTCTCTACTTGCTCTCTCACCACTTACCATGTGACCCTGGGCAAGTTAATTAATTTTCCTGTTGGATTTCCCATCCATAAAATGGGGGTAATTATATCTACCTCATAGAGTTGCAGAGATATAAGTGAGATAATGGGCTCGAAATATTAGTGGCTCGAAATATTAGCTGCAGTTATTCAGACCATCACCAGGCCACATCTTGCTTGCAGTGTCTTTTAAATTTTCCTTAGTTAACATACAGGACAATATTGGTTTCTGGGGTAGAATTCAGTGATTCATCACTTACATACAACCCCAGTGCTCATCGCAACAAATGCCCTCCTTAATACCCATCCCCCATTTAACCCATCCCCTGCCCACCTCCTTCCAACAACCTTGTCTGTTTGCTATCCTTAAGAGCCTCCTATGGCTTGTTTCCCTCTCTCCTTTTTTTTCTTTTCCCCCTTCCCACATGTTCATCTGTTTTCTGTCTTAAATTCCACATATGAGTGAGATCATGGATCATATGGTATTTATCTTTCTCTGACTTATTTCACTTAGCATTAATACACTCTAGCTCCATCTGTCATTGCAAATACTTTTAAAGATTTTATTTGGGGGGGCTGCCTGGGTGGCTCAGTCAGTTGGGCATCTGCCTTCAGCTCGGGTCATGGTCCTGCGGTCCAGCCCCATGTCGGGCTCCCTGCTCAGCGGGGAGTCTGCTTCTCTTGTTCCTCCCCCCAGCTTGTACTCTCTCTCACTCTGCTCTCTCTTTCAAATAAATAAAAATCTTTTTTTTAAAGATTTTATTTTATTTTTAAAGATTTATTTAAGAGAGACAGTGAGCAAGCTGGGGGTGGAGCAGAGGGAGAGAGAGAATCCTGAAGCAGACTGCTTGCTGAGCACAGAGCCCAATGCAGGCTCCATCCCAGGACCTGAGATCATGACCTGAGCTGAAATTGAGTTGGCGCTTAACCAACTGAGCCACCCAGGTGCCCCTAAAGATCATATTTTTAAGTAATCTTTACACCCAACTTGGGTGTAAAGATCAAGAGTTGCAAGCTCTTCTGACTGAGCCAGCTAGACATCCCACATCTTGCTTACCGAAACCACCTCCTAATGAGTTTTCATTTTTTTTTAAGATTTTTTTTATTTTTGCAAGACAGAGCACGCACAAGCAGGGGGAGGGGCAGAGGGAGAAGCAAACTCCCCACTGAGCAGGGAGCCCGACGTGGGACTCGATCCCAGGACCCCAGGATCATGACCTGAGCTGAAAGCAGATGTTCAACCGACTGAGCCACCCAGGAGCCCTTTTCATTTTTTTTTTTTTTAAAGAGAGGGAGAGAGAGAAGCTTAAGCAGGCTCCATGCCCAGCTCAGGGAGCCCGACTTGAGGCTCAGTCTCACAACCCTGAGATCATGATCTGAGCCAAGGTCAAGAGTCAGACATTTAATTGACTGAGCCACCCAGGCACCCCCAGTCTCTTTGCTATTTTCAACCCCCTTAGGTCTAATTCTGCCTTGCTAGAACTAGATCTTTCTGAAGGGCAAATCTTTTCTTGCCACTGTTCCGTGTAAAACCTTCTCATGCCTCCCCCTGCCAGCGGCATACAGTGAAACTCCTTTGGTGTAATTTTTGAGGAGGTCATCCTCTGCTGTCCTCCGCTGCCCTCAGTTTCAGTTCTCTGCACTATCTACACTCTCCAGGCTGCATCTCTTTCTCTCCACTCTTCTGGCCAACTCCTCCTCATTCTTCAGGTCTCATACCTCACTTGTTCTAGGAACCCTTTCCCGATCCCACAAGACTGGATCAGATGTTCCTTGTCAGTGTTCCATGGGTTTATTCCAATCAAAGCACTTTATCCCTGTTTCATCATTGCCTGTTTACTTTTTTGTCTCCTCCATTAGACTTTGTTACCCTTGAAGAAGTCATTGTATCTTGCTCACCATTGTATCTTCAGCCGCTAGCAAATGTTTGACTTCAGGTATAGAGTAGGCAGGCAACAGATATTTGTTGGATGAATGAGAGGAGAATATGTGTAAACTTCCCCTCAGCAAGGCCAGTGGCTTCAGTTCTGATTTGTCATCACACAAGCTACTCACAAAAGAACTGTAGGGGCACCTGGGTGGCTCAGTCGTTAAGCGTCTGCCTTCAGCTCAGGTCATGATCCCAGAGTCCTGGGATCGAGCCCCGCATCGGGCTCCCTGAAGCCCGCTTCTCCCTCTCCCACCTCCCCTGCTTATGTTCCCTCTCTCGCTGTGTCTCTCTCTGTCAAATAAATAAATAAAATCTTTAAAAAAAAAAATACACACTTGCTTAAAAAAAAAAAAAAAGGACTGTAGAAATTCTGTCATTGCATAGCTGGTGGGGCCTTATGCAAGAGGACGAAGGCTCCCCAAGGTGATGTGACCCATCTAAGATGACGCCTCTCCCCTCCCCCAGATAAAGCTGGGGATCATAAAGACACCCACCACTGATGGTTCCTGTGTTTAATGAGACATTGTCATCTTTGGAGGGTTATCTAGGAATAGACTTTTTATGGCAACTTTGGAGTTGTGTTGCATGGCAGGCTGTCAATACAGGGAGCATGAGTAGGATTTTAAGCTCCCTGCTCTAAGTTTGGTATTTGGTCAATCTCTGAATTCTCCAAGCAGAACACATAAACCAATGGTGATTAATTTTTTACAGGGAGAATCCAGATCCCTTTGAGAATCTAATGAAAGTTTTGCCAACATTTGCTTTTATTGAGTTTTGAGAATTCTTTTTTTTAAAAAAGATTTTATTTTATTTATTCATGAGAGACAGAGAGAGAGAGAGAGGCAGAGGGAGAAGCAGACTTCCCGCGGAGTAGGGAGCCTGATGCGGGACTCGATCCCAGGACTCTGGGATCATGACCTGAGCCGAAGGCAGACGCTCAACCATCTGAGGCACCCAGGCGCCCCGAGTTTTGAGAATTCTTTATATGTTTTGGATACAAGTCCTTTATCAGACATATGATTTGCAAATATTTCTCCCAGTCTTTGGCTTGTCTTTTCATTCTCTTAATAGTGTCTTTCAAAGAACTGGTTTTAAATTTTGAAGTTCCTTTTCTAATAGGATTTTTAACCAAGGTTTCCTTCTCTGGATCTCCACATTGATAGCTCTTGAATCATAGCACTTAAATCTTTGGTTTTTAGCAAGGGAAGGCAGAAGCATGCTTTCTGGACT